ACAATATTCAGAACTTGAAATGTTAAAACTTGAGATGGAAAGTAGTCCCATCCGCAATCTTCTTTAAAACATTTTTGCAAAATGTCACAGTATTAATTATCTAATTCTAAATGTTATAAGCAAGTCAACAAGTGAGTATAGTTGTTTGATATTCAAATTCAGCTGCAAATAAGCTAAAATAAAGCTGTTCACTATTGCAGCTTTATGGATGATGGACAGCTTGGGCGTAGGTAGAGCAAATGTGCGTTCTTGAAAATGAGGATGGTACAGACATATCCCAAGACAGGCAAACATGGGAGAAAGATTAAAAGATGATACAACTAAAAGCATAAGGAAAAATGAAGATCAAATAGGAGCCTTCATTCTGACTGTAATAGAAGAACAAGGCATTTAGTTAAATTAAAAGACAACAGATTTAAATTAGAAATACATTTAGGTAGAAGCCATGCCAGCTTGTGGTAGTGACTGCAATTAGTTACTAGTGTATGTAGAAAATGTGAACATATTTTTATACCTCTTTTATGCTGTATTTCTTTTAGGGCCAGCAATGGCGCCTGTGATAAACTCTAGCTGCACGCACACTAGAAAGTTGGATATTTTTGGAAAAATAACTTTGGATTATGTCTTTTTTTTTCCTTATTAGTATTACTAGCTAAGCTTGTGGCAAGTGGTTTTTTTTTTTTTTTGGATAATAAAATACCTTAATAGAGAGAACTCTAGTTCTGTTAATTCTGAAGTCCTGTTGGTTAAGAATTAATTCTGTAAGACCTTTCTCACCCTTCTCGGCACAACGATGGAATTTGGAAACACTGCATGAGCAGAGCACAGGCACAGACATGCGGCCTCAAATTCACCAACTGCCTCAGCTGGACTCTCAGAGGAGAAAAAGGCAAAGAAAAGCTGTCAGTGATGCTCGGTGCCTCTGGGCTGTGTCAGCACCCGGAAACAAAGAACGGTCAATGGCCTATGACATAAACGAATGAAATGAAAAAAATCTAAATTAATGTGGGGCTCAAGCAAGAAAAAGAGGCTTTGGGGGACTTTGTTTCTTCTGTAAGACGCAGCTCACCCTCGTGCTCCTGGAGCGCTGCAGGCCCCAACGGCCACGCGGCGGGGCCTGGTGGGCACCCCGCCACACCGCCTGTCACATGCGGTGTCACACCCCGCCACTCCACCTGTCACACATGGTGTCACACACAGTGTCACACCCCACATCGGCTGGCACCTCCCCCCCCCCCCATGGGGGGCCCCCCCCTGCCACACCCCCTGTCACACATGGTGTCACAGCCCACCACGTGCGGTGTCACACCCCACCACACTGCCTGTCACACATGGTGTCACTCGCAGTGTCACACCTCACCACATCGGCCGTCACACATGGTGTCACACCTCGCCACATGCGGTGTCACACCCCGCCACACCGCCTGTCACACATGGTGTCACCGCCCCCCA